CCAAAACAATAAACAGTGGCAGCTCACCCCGCAGATGGCGCGGTTTCCATTTGGTACCATCACCCACTTTAGATGGCAGTGAATGGAACTAGACCCCAGCATGGGAACCTCAGTCTCCTGGTGATGATGGGGTAAGAACAGGGGCCAAGCAATTACCGACTTCCCATCTTTAAACTTACGAGCTCAGCTCTGAAGAAGCTTTAGCTCACAACCTAAGAATTTAGTGTTAGTTCTGAACCCCTTCCTTATATGAAAAGGGAAAATGGAAAGGGTGCTCGTGTCGCAAGGTTTTCTACTGAGGAGGGGTACGGCCCTTTCTCCCAAACAGGAATGTCACTTGCTAGAAGCATTTGCTTGTCAGCACACACTAAAATGCCAGGGATGGTGCAACACTTTCAGCTGTGCAGACCAGGAAGAGCTATCACTCGGTCTTAGAAGCCATGCCTCTCTCCTGAAAACAAAAGCCAGTTTATAAAATGATATCAGAAACAACCACTAGAGCAGCAATTTGAAGACACTCCAGAGGTTAACCTGCCCCCGTTACCCTTCATGACTACATACATGGGTACGCTGAGCACCCACTGTTTACATGGGTCTAGCCTTTGAATAAGGACATGCAGTGTACTTAAATAAAGCCCTGAAAATGTATCTTCTCAGCAACAGCTACAGCTTCATTCATAATAGATGCCTGAAACAACGAAGTGAAGTTTTTTAAAGATATATTCATTTTTATAAGGGAACTGTGTCTGCTTCCACGTATGCATGTGCACCAGGTGTGTGCCTGGTACCCACAGAGGACAGAAGAGGATGCCAGACCCCATGGAAGTAGAGCTATGGGCAGTTGTGATCTGCCATGTGGGTGCTGGGAACCAAACCCAGGTCCTCTGCCGAAAGCAGCCAGTGATCTCAGCTGCTGAGCCATCTCTCCAGCCCCCAATGAAATGAAATTTTATAAAAATAGCAAAGCTCTTCCCTAAGGCGCTCACTTGACTTTAATCACCAATTGTCTTGCATATTTTTCAACTGTTCCTTTGCAGAGACTAAGACTGTCTTATACTTTACATAATTTAGCATCATTTGCTGCCACACACAAGGGCAAAGTATTGCTTAAAAATTTGTAATGTTTAAATTGAAATAAAACTTCAGCTTACAATGGTAAATATTCCTGGATTAATAGAGCTGCAGTAGACATACTCCACAAATTGACTGAAGTCTGTGATATTAGAAAGACAGAGAATTTATCTAGTTTTAGCAAATGTCAAATCAGCAGCTATTGCTTTTAAGATTAATAAAAGATGTAATGGTTTCTAGATAGCCTCTAAATAGAGATGACTATGAATGGAGAAGTGATTTACCAACAGTCACCACAATGAGATTTCTTTAAAGGTTACAATCATCAGTTATTTAGCTGAGAATGCCTGGTCATTTCTTGAATAATGCATAACGCTCATTGTAGATTTGATCTGTATTATAACAATACAGATATTTCTAAAATAATAGAAAAAACTATCTCTTGGCTTCCAATTGCTTAACATATCATTTCCATGAAGTAACGGGCTCAGGACACATGATACACTGTCACCTGGGTGTTCTCCCTGTAAGCATAACTTTTTATAATCTGTATACAATGGGCATCACACAACAAACTCATCAACCTTTATAGACTGTTCAGAAAAGATGTGATGAATGAGGGGCAGAATAAGAGACCTTTCCAAAGCAGTAAATTAAAATCATTAAAAGTCTCTATAGTTGTGTTGGACAAATTTAAATTGCAGCTTTGAAATTTAATGATTAGCATGATCAACTCACCACGTTAAAAATGTTGCCTATATAATGTGAATACTTGTCATATAAATTTTTAAATGCTTCTAGGTTTATTCAAGAAACTGTTTGGAGAGGCACAAAGTGTAATGTCTGCGGGTTCTATATTGTTGGGTTATGAACCACACTTCACATGATGCTGTGGGCTATTTGTTTACCCACATGAACTCCTTCAAGGGCACAGCATAGAAGACCTTAATAAATTAAAATGAATTTCTTTTGATGTTGTTGTTTCATGAATGTTTGATCAGAATGAGTAGCAGTTTTGCATTAAAGCACCGCAGCAAAGCAATAAATTGTACACAGACTCCATAGCAGAACCTGCTTTCAGAAACTGCCGAGCATTCTAGAGACTTCTGAGAGCCAGGGTAGAATACAGAGTCACTGAGCTTGCGTTTCAGTTCCCAACTATGGCCAGTTTACTAACAGTGAACACGTACCAACCTCCACACTCTGCCATCACCATCACGATAGAAGGGTTTTAAAGGAGACCTATTCTCTCCATCCCAGCTTCCCAGTTTTCTCAGTGAGATCTCACACACAGACAACACCACCTAGGGGAGATGAGACTGTGCTCTGTCTTTCCCATACTTGGTTCGTCACAACTAGTAATTATAGACTGGAGCTGACTGAAAGCCACACAGTAAAAAAATGAATTATTAATCACAGTCTAAACTTGAGAAAAACCTCACCTGCAGTGTTTGATGGGGGTAACACAAAATGAGCATCATTTATAGCCAAGCTGTGTGAGGGACAAGAACAACGGATTCTGACCCTAGATCTGCAAACCCTTCACTGCAAAGCCATCTCTCTTATATACAAAATGAGGTGATAATTCCATATGATCTAAAGACTTGCGTCTACAAAAGGCCAGAATTCCAAACAGATTGCACCAGAGACGAGTGGACAGGACAGAGAGCCATTTTTTTCCACTTCGACAGCCATTATAAACTATTTTAAAAATGGAATCAAATGATAATTACATTAAATAAATGCAGGTCTTGTGTACCAATTTGTCTGAAATTAATATATTTTCACACTGTTTTCTGATTCATTGAACTTATTTCATTTTGTATGACTGTAAAGAAACATGAAGATGATCATGTCTCATACTAGAGTAAAAACTATAACACACATGCACTGGAATTATATGTGCAGCTTTAATTTGTAAAATTTCAGGATGATTTTAGTATCTAGAATATGTGTTAGTATATCGCCAATTTGCTATCCACATTCTCAGGGAGCTGTGCACCACTACCAAGAGTGTGCTTTCATTTGTAGTATGGTGACAGCCTAGCCATAAGAGGCTCCTGGGTTGTGTGTTCTCTGAAACCTCTGACTGTCATATAACTCTAGAGCAAATGCCTATAAACTATGGCCTATGAGCCAAGCTCGGTATCTGCTGTCTGATTTGTAGATACAGTTTTACTGGAAGACAGCCACATCTATTCATTTACATATTGTTTATGTCTGATTTCATGATACAATGGCAGAGTTGAGCAGACACCAAAGCCTAAAATATTTACTATATGTTCCTTTAGAGAAAGTTTCCCAACCATACTCTAGAGGAAAAGAACCTCAAAGATTCAAATTTGAATCTCGCTTTCTCATAATCACAACACAATTCCTAAGTAAGCACAGACTGAGTACCCCTGATTCAAAATGCTGGCAACCAGAAGCTGTACAGATTTTAGATCTTTTCAGATTTTGGAATGTTTTCATGGATAGGAGAGCTTTTCAAAACCTGAAGCCACTTCTAAGCACAAGATACGTTTGTGTTTCTTAGATACCTATGTGCACGTCACCTAAATGCAATTTTATACAACATTCTTACTGATCTTGTCCATGTATGTAGCATCATGGCGGTGCATAAAACATTAGAGCAGGTCCACTTTAGCAGTTTTGGATTAGGGGTTCTCAAACTGTAACTGATTGACACATATACATGTGATCACTGCTCTCAACATGCAATGACAAATAATCAATGCTTTGGATCCTTCAATTCAATCAGAATCCAAGCAAATGATGACAGCTCCACACTAGTATTCTTTACAACAACTTTCCTAAAACATCCAAGGCCACAGAGCTTTTCCAAAGGTAGATGGCAAGATGTAATCACAAAAGAACTCAATTCTCCTTTCTCCCTCAGAAGAACTCACCTGCACCTCCTCAACTTGCCCATTTAAAAAAATATTTATTTTTTTTGAGATAGCTGCCCTGGAATTCACTATGTAGACCAGGCTGATCTTAATCTCACAGAGATCCACCTGCCTCGGCCTCCCAAGTACTGGGTTTAAAGGAGTGTGCCACCACGTCCGGCTGTTCTTATATTTCTAAAACCTTGAGGTGGATCACAACAGTTAATTCAATGTCTCTATTTTTTTTTTTTTTTTTTTTTTGGTCTTTTTGAGACAAGGTCTCCCTGTAGCCCCAGCTGGCCTGGAACTCACTATGTAGACCAGGCTGGCCTTGAACTCACAGAGATCTGCCTGCCTCTGCCTCTGAGCGCTGGGATTAAAGGCGTGTGCCACCGTGCCCGGCTGAACGCACTCCTTCTTTATTCCACACTTGCCAAAGGTCCAGATAGAAGGTTTGGACATGAGAATCGAGATCTTTTGGGACATAAGCTATGAGTAACACACCCTTAAGGGGAAAAAAAATCAGTGGCCCAAACCACAAATACAATTCTTGCATGCATATTTAAATGCTAAAAGTGCCCTCAATTCTTAGTTTCAGGAACCAACAAGAAAATACTTATATTTAACTATCAGTGGAAAAACACCCACCATTAAAAAAATAATAATTGTAAGAGTAACTGTGTCAAGGATTTGAAGGACAAATATATGTTTATATTAATAACTTTTAGCCAACGTGTCTATAAACATGAAACATTAATACATGGATGGATTTTCAAGGTCAATAAAGTTATTAACTAAAAAATGCCTGCTCTGGTTGGACCTTGTTTCTTGCCTGTTTACTTGAGACAGAAGACATCGGCTCCACCTATAAGCAAACATCCCCATAGTCCATGCATCAAGAATTTACACGTACCGCTATAACATAAATTAAAACAAACAGAAAGTCTCTCATCATCGCTTCTGTGAAATCTTACATCAACTAATAGACAGGGCTGACAGACGTTTTGAAAACAGAATAGAAATAGAAGAGGTTTATTTCACCTTCGCATGGTGTCTTTCTCATGCAGAGTTCAGATTTCCACATTTGTGTCCCTTTAAAGCATTTGATATGCAGGAAAAGAAGAAAGAACAATGGTGAGCATTTCATCTCAGAGACAGCTGAGACCGCCACAGTTCAGACAGACCAGTGGCCTAAAACCTACCTTTCACTGAGGTGTTTGGTGGAGGGCCTTCCATTCGCAAGTTCCACGGAGGGTCCCCTTGGTTAGCAAAGTCCCTCATTTTCAGATAGCTGATTGTAAGTCGAATGATGGACGCCTTGTCAAGCTGGCTGGTGATGGCCGCAGGAAGAGGTAACAACTTGGCCAACTCATAGAACTCAAAATTTTCTTTTCCCCGGCGCGAGCGAGCGGCATCTCTAGATTTCTCCTTTCTCAGTGCTTGTAAACTGAAAGCAAAGTAGGGGGAAAGGACCGATTAGATCGTGTGATTCTGTTTTGTAACTTCATCTCCCCACCCCTACAATCACTTGAAAATCCAGTCATAGTAAAGTGAGCTCCAAGTAATGTCGCAAACTGTAAGGTTGACTGTGGCCTCTTATCACCAGCTCAGGTACAATGAGGAAAATTGTGGTTTGCTCGTTACAACATTGTGTTTCCCTCCAATTGTCCGTGCACTGAGATATGATTCTTTTTTCTAAGACACAAGGCTTACAGGTGAGACTTGATGTTCTAACTACAGGCAATTTAAGAGACGGCATGTACTCCTGTGCTGATTCTGAAGATGATGATTTGTTTCGAACAACTGTCATTACCATGGGCTCTCTGGCCATCAAAAGGAAACATTTTGAAAAATTTATTTCAATTATCATCTTGGGGAATGAAAGGTAAACACAAACATAAGTCATTTTGACAGAATCAACAAATATAACAGTGAAATGTTTCTAGCCCTCAGCAAGGATCACGACACCTTCAGTCACATGAAGGACATCAACATCGAAAATAAAGATTTCAAAATGTGCTGCTGTCCACTTGGCAAGAGGTTACTGAGATTTTTTATTAATGGGACTGTACTAGTAGCTGGGCAGTTTCTAGAGAATACACTGCCCCCCAAAAGCCAAACTTCAGGGTGACATAAGTTTTATGTTGGAAGATAAATCCCTGTCTGGGTTATTAAAATTTACAGACTTTATAGACATATTACTTCACAGAAGAGGCAACAGGTTGAATCCAGAATTTTCCTTTAACTATTCATGTGCATTTCTGTTTGAAGTGTGTTCACATTGCTGAGGGCAGAATCTGGCACCAGCAAAGCTGTGTGTGAGCATCTGACAGGAGAATTCCAGCTCCTCTGAATCACTATCACGGCTTTGTGTCTGATAAGAAATGCATTCAAAATCAGATCCCAGTGATAAATAACTGGGTGCGAGTTACAGCACAGAGGAACTAACAAATAACTGTTAGCTACCCACATTACTGAACTCTGAGGCATTTTAAATCTTTGAACTATGTTCTGAATTCTCATAAAGATGAAAAGGGGACACAGAGGAACCGAGCAAAATGGCTTCCGCAGTGTCGCAGCGCTCTCTGTTAATACACCGTGGAGACAAATGCATCACTTGACATTACAGCTCACCGTGGACGCCATACTCTGCAGATACCCACATGACCCCACTGAATACCTGTGTCACTTAAGCCATGCCATGAACCTCCGATCAGACACTTGATTGGTTAATACCCCAACCAACATATCTCTTTAGTCTTAATAATTATATATACATAAAATATTGGACAAATATATATTAGATAAATAAAGCTATCATCTTAGGTCATTTAGGTGACAAATCTGTGTCCCACAGTATGACTCTGGTGATAACTCCAGACAGAAATATCACTAATTTACAAGGAAAAAAATATCACATTACAGACTTCCAATACCTGGTCTTCCCTTCATTCTACAACAGTTCAATGCTGGCTTGTTGAAAACAATATAAGCTAGAGATGTCTTAAAATCTGACAAAATGTAGGTGTGATAAGGATCTAGGTTAGCATCTTAGACAAAATGCCTCCCTTTGCACAATGAAACTGATTTATTTAAAAGCTCCTAAGTGGGCTTTGCCAAAAGAATCATGATTGATTGACTGATTGACTGACTGATTGATTGATTGATTGATTGATTGATTGATTGATTTTTGGCCAGGTTTCCTCTACCACATGTGTAATCAAATACTACTCCAGAAGGTGGGGTAAGCTGACACTTTTTATGATACAGGAAGTGACTGCAATGGAGCTCTAGGCAGGGGTCGAAACCTCCAGGGCCTTTATGGTTAAGGTGGGAAATGCCAGTGAGAGGACAGATGAGGTCCAGGGGAATTGGACCTAGCTAAATAGCTAAAGTGTAGCACCATGGTCCAGCTGGACACTGGTTTGAGGAGAGCTAGCCCAATGTTACCACCTTTCCATTGATGCAATTTCTAGAGAAAAGACTTCAAGTTTCATGTAAATTTTTCTAATTTTACTACATCGACTAATGAAAGTTTTTTAAAATTGTGCAAGTTAATTAACCATGTCATGGTCAAATTTGGATCAGGGACTCATTTAACAATTGGATAATAATTTGGGAGGCCAATTACGAAGGTAGTTTTACATAGATGTTATGTGTAATTTTCCTTGTCAGCCAAATGATCATAAATGAATTCATTCATTAGCTAATTAATATTCCTAATATTTACACCAGAAATTTTTCTGTGCAACTGGAGCAAAGTGGATGATTAAGCAATTATTCTGAAATTGATATTAATGAATAGGCTTGTCAATAAACTAAGGGAAAAATTAATCCTCATGAGGGCTGGGAATAGTAGGAGACGAGGGAAGGAACCAGGAAAGTTTGACTGATGGGTACTGAGCTACAGCTGCCTAGAACCAAGAACTTGGGGTGCAACTGCACAGTGTGGTAACTATAGATAACAATAATGTGCTGTGCATTTCAAAAACTAGGAGAAAGGATTCTGAAAGTTTTCACCATAAAGAAATGCTAAAGGTTTAAAGACATAAATGTTAAATGTGATTTAAAAGTTATGCACTATATACATGTATTGGATATTACATGGTATCTATAAGTACTTATTATGTTAATACTTTGTGTAGGATAAAAATAAAACATAGAAACATCATTTAATTAAAACAGAATAAAAACTATCCCCAGGAGAAACGAAAGTCAAGATCATAGAGATCAACCTGTGTTTTCCAAAGCGTCAATGGGGCACATCATTTTCACCGTGGGGAAGGGAAGCTAACAGACACTAGAACCTCTGAGAGCCTTGCCCAAGCATCATGATTTAGTTATATTTATAAAATAGCACTGAGAGATACTCATAGTCCCCTGGAACTAGTCGATCAGATAGCATAGAACTGGGAAAATGAACAGCAGACCCCAATCTTATCTAAAGGCATATTGACGACCGATTGCTGCTAGATGAGGAACAGCTGACCTTCCTAAAACAAAGACCTCTAGACAGGCTGACTAGATTCACCAGAAGGGCAAGTAGTGGGGAACGGCTGGGGGTGCCGACAACACAGCGGACAGTAGCTGAGATATCAGAGTATAAGGGCTCTAGTGGGGGGAGGGAGGCTATGGGAGGGTGCTGTCTGGGAAGTGGGTGTAAATATAAATAAATTTTAAAACTAGCACTGAGCAGTGATGTGGGAGGCCCTCTATCCCTTTCCCGCACTTCCTCTGCACTGACCTATCCATCCCGCTGTCTGCCTTTCCACCGTGTCACCCACACTTCCCCCCAACTCTCACACACAATGGATCCCCCTTCTGGAGTCATGTTCTGGGCTGTAATCTTCATAATAAAGGGTTTCCATGACTCCCACATCACATCATTATGCAGGCTCCATAGTTCAGAAGACTTTCCAGAATGACAGCACTGTATCTGTAATAAGTAGTAATTGGTTTTGAGAGTAACAGCAATAAAATACAGTCAGAGGATTATAAAGGTTGTTGAGACTCTGGTATCATAGATGAAGCTAAAGACTTAAGACAATAACACGGTTTGTGGATTAATCTTCTGCTTTCTTTTATGAAGTAGAGCCTAGTTATAAGCAATTCTCAAATTGAATTAAGGTCTATGTTAAAACCTAAAATAAACTTTATTTCTGTAAATTTTGTTCTAGACAAACCCTGTGGTTGCATTTCTCAAACAGAAAAGAAAACTAGATGGGTTGGGTCTGAGCAGAATGTTGTGGTATCAATCTCTGCCTTCTAAAGCATAAGGAAACTTCAGATCCACAGAGCTGCTTCCTGGATGCAAACTTCTCACTGCTCTAACATTCTTAATTTGGATTCTGGATAACAGAAAGAGACAGTCCTTTAACCCTCAGCAAAGACTGTGACTATATCAACTCTCTTGGATACCTGTTCTATTATCTGCAACAATAAATATCATCAGCAACAAACAATGATATCAACAAATAATGTCAAAAGGCATAAATATGCACATATACACATATTTTCCCACAAAATAGCATACACAAAGTTATGTGTATATGTCAATTTATAGATGGTCAATGATTTTCAGATTTTCAAAAGGGGTTCAGCAGCCCAACCAAAAGGTTAATAATAATTCTATGCCCACAATTTCTTTTAGAAGATCATGGATTGCTCAGCTAGGCCACCTGGTGTCAATCATTTCCCTATGTTTATTAACTATGTAAAGCTAACTTCTGGTGCCTTGATTTTTCTTGTCTGGGAAAAGGCCTGATATAATACTACATACTTCTTAAATTGTTAGAAATAAAATTATTATTTTAATAAAATGTTTATGGTGGTGGTTGACACACTGGTCACTATATGAGACATGTTGGAGGAAAAACTAATCTCACTTCACAGTGATAATTTCACTTTGAATGTCCACAGTGCCCCTATATGATTCCTGCAGAGTATCCATTACATATCACAGATATACTTAATAAATATGTATACATGTATAACTAATAATGTAAGCTTAAATGCTTATAAAAATTTCTGAACAGGGTAATGAATAGTCATTTTCAGTACCCTAGACCATGGTATTCAGTCGTAGGAAACGTAATCTTGTTCATACATAAAAATGAACATGTAAACAGCTATTAACAGAAATGGATTTCTCAGGATGATCATAAAAACATGTACAAGAAGTTTTTAAATGTGGCGGTAATGATTGATCACAAAGAGCATAAAGATGCTCTTTGAAGGAAGACTATCTTTCAAAATGTCTTTCAAAGCTCATGCATCGGAAAGCTCTCCAGAAATCACACAAAGTTAAACCCAGGACTGCGGAGAGCTCGTGCAACCCAGCAGTGTGTCAGTTTGACAGCTCCTGTCCCTCATCAGCCTCACTGAGGGCCATGCCAAATTGAGAAATCATGATTAATACAGGAGGTGAGGAGGAGGAGGGGGGGAGGG